ACAAGGAAATTGCAGAAAGGTCAATGTTGACTAGTAAGCCAAGTTCAAAGGCATTATTTCTGTTTGTATATGGATGGCCTGCACAAACTTGAGAAGTGGGGATTAGCGTGTCCAGGAGCTGTAGCAGTCCTGCTGGCCCCATCCAGTTTCAACATCCTTGCCTTGTAAGGCGGGCTGATGCAGTGGTCTAGAGAACACACAAGAGGGGGTGGCATAGCTTACACAGTGACTCTTAGTGAAGTAATGGGGTTCAGAGAGCCCTACTTCCTACTGTGTGGTCCTTAAAAGTCTAATTATCGTTTTGAGCATCTTGGAAACATAAAAGTAAAGGCATCCTGGCCTTATCGGTCCAGATGTGTTTAGAGGCTACGATGGTTTAGGAGCGTGGGAGAGAAGTGAAGACGCTAGGATGGAGGAGTTCCTTGGAAAAGACTGTGAGCCTGCAGTGGGATGACATGGTGTGAAGACTGACTGGGCTGGAGATGTGGGCGGCTGAATTCCAGCGAGATTTTTTTTCCCTTCACGACAGTACAGAGCATCCAATCCAGAGCGCCATACGCATGCCCCTTTGTTTTGAGACGGTCTTGCTGTGTGGCCCAGGTTTAACTCAAACTTGAAATCCTCCTACCTCAGCCTCCTCAGGGCTAGGACTGCAGGGTGTAAACATCACCCAGGTGGGCTCCCAATGGTTTCGTTTCTGATGGTGCTGGTAGTGGTGTTTTAGTTTAGTCCAGTGCTGGGATTTGAACCCTTTGTGCATGCTAGTCAAGCACTCTGTTGACTGAGCTATACATCCCCACCCTGGTGGATTCTATTCACAAGTGGGCAATAGCAGCTTCTCACCACCAGAGGGCATCAGCCCTGCAATGACTGAAATATTAATGACCTAAGTCAGGTGTGCTAAGCAAGGCATCTAAAGCTGGTTTACCTTGAGGCAAAAAGCCACCAACCCTGGTTGCTTCTACACCTATAAGTGGACTTGAGTCCAGCTAGCTCCCAAAGGTGAGATATGGACTGTAACCAGAAGGAGTTGTGGGGTTTCTTATTCAAGTAGAATTTGAGGGATTGATGTAAAAATTGATATGAAGGAACATTAGAGTCAGATCAGACCAAACATACGGACACATACCCACAAAGCAGAGCTTCTGAATAAAAAGCTCATCAGATTGGGGATGTGATTGGGGATGTAGCTCCTTCAACAGAGTACTTATCTGGTATGCACAAACACCTGGGTTCAAATCCCAGTGCTGGACTAGATGAGATCCTGTCTCAAAACTAAACTGCATTTCAAGGAATTACAAAGGGCTCCTAACAGCTTGGCTGAAACAGGATCGAAAATGACTGATAGCAAATTAGGGAAGTTTAGGGATAGTATGCTACCATGTAATTGTCACGTAAATATTAAAACACTGCAAGGGTCCCGGAGGATACTGTGCCAGTCTACATGACTAGGTGGACTTTCTACTACTTAAGTTTGTAACAGCTTCTTACAGGACATCTTTTCCATCTTGATTACTGACAGGCACATTTTAATTAATTCAAAAGAAAGGGATAATGACATCTTTGTTCTTTACCAGAAAACTTCCTGTTCAACAGTATTCTGATAATCTCCCTAGCAGTTCAGAAAGTCCTGTCTCCAAGGTCTGAGAAACAATTCAGATCCCTTTCTTCTAACCAAAAGCAACATTAGCAGGGTGTGTTAGAAAGAAAAAAAATATGTATGAAGGTATGAGAATAGCAATGCTTTGCCAGGAGGGAAGGGCCTTCCGATGGGCCTCGGCAAAGCCCTTGTTGCCTCCACCTTCCTTCTGTGTGGTGTCTTAAATTTTAAAAAGACATTGTGATCTCTCTCTGTTTTTTGGAATTGTAAATTATAAGGAGATCCAAATATAATTCTTGGCCCATCACTTGCAAAATTGGTGTTAGCAGGACATGAGACAGGACTCTGGCTCTGACATTTGATTGGGTTATGTTGGATGACTTCAAGCCTCCTAATCCCTAATAGTGTCGCGACTCCTAGGAGAAACCCCCGCTAGCAAAGTTTCACGGAAATAAGTGGTTCCAAGGCAATGGCTACGCTGTTATAGTGATGTATAAAATAAAGTTTGCTAAGTTTTTTGAGAATTTTTTTTAACAGCGCTTGCTATGTGATTCAGGATGGCTTTGAACTGGCATCCCTCTTGTCTCAGCCTCCTAAGTGCTGGGATTATAGGCATGCCATTCTGGACTTAAAATCAAAATGCTCTGGATTTCCCAAATCATTATCTGAAATTATACTTAGAACAAAATTCTGAGAGCACTTTTCTATTTATAAAGCAGCCTTTAAAATCATGATGCTTTTCTAAGGATTAATGGGTATTGCAAATAAATAGGATTTCTATAATATCATCAGAAGTAGCGAGAGTGAAAGGAAAAAGAAGCCTTCGTAAGGGACCTCAGCTTCACATTGCTCACAGGAGAAATCATCCCCCAGTGAGAGTCACCTGGCACACTGAGCATGGTGGGAAGGCTGATTCCCTCATGCAGTTGGTTCTGCTCGGACGTAGTTGAAGCTACACAAAGGGCAGCTGACACACATCACTGAGAAAGGGTAGGACCCAAATTCCAGACAGCAGCGGGCGTCTACAAGCAGGGGCACATGTGCCTCCCAAAGGGGGGCCTGAACAGGGCTGGGAATACAGCAGCTCAGAGGCCAGATGCTGTTGATCCTGTTCAGGATCTGATCCCTCCAAGAGTACAGGGATGAGAGGAGAGGTCCCTGAGATACAGCCACACATCGTCATCACAAGCCATTTAGAGTTAGGAACATTGGCAAATAATTATCCCGTTATTCCTGAAAGTGAAGCAGCAGCAACGAAGACAGAAGAAAAGCTGGAGAAGTTGAACAATGAATTAAATAATTCCAAGTATGTTTTAAGTGCCACTTACATTATGTAGGAAATTGACTGATAAAGTGGAAAAGAGAGAGTAAGGTAAAATTATTCATGAAGAAGCAGGCTGGTAAATACTCAGTTAATGCTACATTCTCCCGTTGAAGGGCAAAGGACCATTCCATAACAGTCTGTTGCTGTACCACCGCGATTGTGCCCCATCTCGTCTGATCCGGGAAGCTCAGCATCAGGCGAGGTCAGGTCTTAGGTGAGAGGATGTAGTCACACCCTACATTGAAACCTAGCAGGATTGTCTCCCTTGAGTTTTGAAATTTAACGGGACCTATGACCCATGAACAGGAATTTTATAACCTCCATCTTAGACTTTTCACACCGGGGGACCAAAAATATTTTCTAGTTCTACAGGTCTATAGATGGGGATGACTTTCTACCCAGGACTGACACTGGCTGAAATGGTTAAAATAGTAACAATATGTAACTTGAAGCTGATATGGATTGAAAGTAGCATTTTGAGATGTTTAACAAGGAAGATGACTGGGCAAAGAAGACAGGAAAGGCTACTGGCTGTCAACACATCCACATCCCCATGGAATCCATCCTCTAGAAACTGGTCCTATGTAACTTTCCATGACAAAAGAGAGACTTGGAGTGGGTTGTCCTCAGTATCCAATGAAAGTAAACCAGAGTCCTTGTCAGGGGAAAGCAGGGCAGTCAGAGACATGGTGAAAGATGTCACAGTAACATGAGATCATGATCCAAAGATGGAGCCGCTTATAAAAACTGATAAAGGCAAGATGGTGGATTCTCCCCCAGAGCATCCTATGTTAGTCTCTTTCGCTTCCTGTGCAAAATACCTAAAAGAAATGTGGAGAGTGTATTTTGGCTCCTGGTTTCAGAGGCCTCAATCCATGGTCTTTTGGTTTCATCCTTCTGGACACATCAAGACAGCAAGAGCATATGGTGGTCAGGGAACAAGGGCCAGCAGCTTCCCAAAGTATACTAACAACGAGGTTCTCTACCTCCTAAGTTTCTGACACCTCCAGTAGTTCATTAAACTAGGAACCCACTATCTATTAATGCGCTGACAGCCCCCATGATCCAGTCACCTCCCAGAATCCCACCCTGGCCATTGCTGTGCTGTGGACCAAGTACTCAACCCAGGAGCCCTTGGAGGACATTCCAAGTCCAAACCACAACTTTTCTAGATGAAACACGGCACTGTTAGTACTTTGTTTTTAACTGTCTGGGGCTGATTTTAGACTTGTATGCTATGATGGTAAGAAAATACATAAGCCACTGTCTGCCCTCATTTACCAGAACAGCCATGGAAAATTAACTCAGGAACCCAACATCTACATGATTTACCTGCAGCCTGCTGGGCTGGAATGAAGTTCTTGGTCTTGCTCAGAAACCTTGTATCTTCAGGAAGCATCCATAAGGCTGAGAGAGCCTAACCTGCTAACTTTTAAGGGGTTGTAAAGTCTTAAGATTTTCATGGTCCTTAACATTCAGTACTTAAAATTAATATGCAATCGGGAACATTCCTCCTACTCATTAGTACTCCGAGTTCTCTTCTGGCTAATCAAATTCACATGATCTCAAATACCTTTTGACCACTTTTATGAAGAAGCCCATGATTTATATTTAATGGAATAAATTGTCACTACTCGTGCAAGTTAATAAGATCAATCTTCTTGTGTTGTATAAAAATATACATGAAGGTACCATGTATCTGTAAGGATTCACTAAAGTGTTTTAGTTATATTATACTAAATAGTTCGTGCTTTTTTCTGCTACTCTTTGTTAGTCTCTTAAAGAATCAAACTTCCCTTCAAAGTCATTTTGGGAAAGGAATTCACTTGGGTGGAGTCATCCCAACCCCGCTCCTGTATGACTGAGTCTAGGATCCCTGAGATGACATTGCCGGCATACACTCTCAGAAATCGAGACATTGCAGACATGGGATAGCTTTTTAGAGAAATGGAAACCTGCCTGTGTAAAAATCAAACCAGAGACAGTTCCTGTGCGATAAATGCATTTATTTCGCAACTGAAGCGAGACAGATGGTGGACATAAAGACGATGCCACCCAAAGATTAGCAGCTGGCCATGCATACAACTCACTGTGCAGAATTGAGTTGTTTTCGACACCAGCAAAGTAGGGTGGATTCCTTTGTGAAATGAACATCATGTTGCTCCCCCACCCTGAACAGCTGTTAATGTACACACAACCCACTGGCCATCTCAGTTCCATGCCAGACAGTCAAAACCTACACGCCTGCCAAGCAGACAGACCACATGGCATACAGTATCTTGTTCTGAAGCGAAACAATCCAGCAGTGTAACCACAGGGACAGCCAGAAGAGACTCGCATCAGTCAAATAACAATCTGCCCTACCATTTTTTGAGAGCTGAAATACTTGTGAAATACTTTAGGCTGGCATTCATGGGGCCAGAGAGCTGTCCCAGGTTTAAAACAGACAGATGGAGTTCCTCAGGTAAACTGCCTCAGCGTAACTCAGCAGAAACACTGTCTGTCACAGTGTGTGTGGTTCTCCTGGCATCCTGGTAAAGGTTCCCCAACTAAAATATGACTTAGGACCGGGTGGAGGGAGGGTACCAAGACCTGGCGAGCCTGCCATCAGAGCTAGGGTGCCGTGTTCTATTTTCTACTGCTTATATATACATGAGCTCATGTTGGATGCTAAGTCTGAAAGTCACAAAATACTAGCGCTGGGATGGCTCAGCTACTGCAGACATGCCACCTGACCGTTAAAGCCACGGCAGTCCAGAGAGGTAAAGCAGCTTGTCACAGGCAAAGAACGGTGGCAAAGGGCTAGATGAGAATGCAGTGACCTAACCTCACCTAGGGGAGCTCGACTGCATATGTGGCCAATAGTTTCAATAAGGAAACTTTAATACTGTGGGGTTTTTGGTTTTTGTTTTGTTTTGTTTTTGTTTTTTGTTGTTGTTGTTGTTGTTTCGAGACAGGGTTTCTCTGTGGCTTTGGAGCCTGTCCTGGCACTAGCTCTGTAAACCAGGCTGGTCTCGAACTCACAGAGATCCGCCTGCCTCTGCCTCCCAAGTGCTGGGATTAAAGGCGTGCGCCACCATCGCCGGGCATAATACTGTGTGTTTTTAATCCAAGAAGAAAAAAACAAAGTCACCACCATCCCCCAAAAAAACAAAATGGTGTCTTCCATCTCCAAACTCTACATGGCTATCACTAAGTCCCAGCCCTAGCCTAAGCCTTAAACTTTAAACATCATCCTCTCTCCCCTCTACACACACACACACACACACACACACACACACACACACACACACGGGCGGGAGGGCAGGGTGTGGAGTGGGTGGATGGTTCTTGCTATACAGAGACAGAACACATCCTCAGGAAAGCGCCATTATTTCTCAGCCCAGGTCTTTCCGTGAGGTCTGAGAAACCGGCTTATTTTCTAGAAGAACAGGTGGTTCCGAAATCAGAAGGTCATCTTCCCCAAAGGAGGAATTCTGGTCCGTGTTTACGAAGTTGGGGATGTCAAACTTCATAAACCTGCTCAGCTGCTCCTCAGCCTCCGCACTGCTTCGGATGGCTTCCTGGAGATGGACATCGCTGTCGATGGCTGTTGTCTGGTGGCAGACTTTCACCCGGTCCAAGTGTTCCACTTCGTTGATATAACAGTGGAAGAGAGACCTGGACTCCTCGTTGCCCTGACGAGAGAACACCTTGTCTGACTCCGGTGGCTTCCCAAAGTCTGACACGAAGCTGTTCATTCTGAACCTCTTCTCTGATGACTCTGCATTGCTGTAAAGACAAGAAGGGGAGGGCACCATCCTCAGCTCACTGGCATGCTGGCTCATGGAGATTCCCATGAAGCACCTCCTGGGTGTCCCTTAAGGGCATGCGGACCACCAACAACAATGAGATACATCACTCCTAAGCACAGGACTCCAAGGCAAAAGCCTCCAGAGGACAGCTGCTGGATTTTCCTGAGGGCAGATAGGGTACAGGACCCTACCCCCTAGCATCCTGTAAGCACTCCAGGGATTCTTAGAGCTCCTGAGTTGAAATCAATTCCTAATCTTGATTTTGTGCTTATGTATATGTGGTGTTTATGTGTATATATGCGTTTGTGTGTGCGCACCTGTAGAGACCAAAAGTCCATATCCTGTCTTCAATTGTTTCTGCACCTTCTGCTTCTTGTTCTTTTTGTTTTGTTTTGGTTTTGGTTTTTTGTTTTGTTTTGTTGGGCTTGGGGTTTTTTGTTTGTTTGTTTGTTTTTTTCTTTATGAGGCAGGGTCTCTCACTGAACCTGTGGCCAGTAAGAACCTGCCTCCACCTTCCCAGTCCTGGGAATACAGACACACACCACACACTGGTTTTCATGTGGGTTCTGGGGATCCAGAATCAGTGTCTGAAATTTACATGGATGTCACTTAAGCAACTACGTTATCTCCCATCCTTGCATCAAAGGCAATCTGAAGAAACAAAGTCCAGTCTTGCAAACCTTCAGGGCCTCTGGAGATACTCAGTGATCAGCATTGTCATAGTACTCCCAACGATCATTGCTGGAGTGATGTTCAAATTCACAGGCCTATAGCATACAGCATGGGCCTCTAGCAGACGTCACAGGCCTACAGCACTTCCTGGTTGGAGCCCTGTTAGTGTCTGCCAAGTTGTATCCTTCCTCTAAGCCCCTTCTTAGGCATCTAGGAGCCATCTCTGCAAGAAACCTTTTCCGGTTCTTATGACCTGGGGTAGCTGCCCTGCGGGGACACCGGGTGCTTCTCCTCATTCATCTTCCTCTGTGTTATGCCCATTTCTTCACTTCTCTGTTCCTCCTTTATGTCATAACTGCTCCAGGGTGGCACTGTGTGCTTCTTGCCTACCACATCCCCACTTCCAAGAACAGAGGTAGGTATATAGATACTAATGGTGTAGGTATATAGATACTAATGGTGTAGGTATATAGATACTAATGGTGTAGGTATATAGATACTAATGGTGTAGGTATATAGATACTAATGGTGTAGGTATATAGATACTAATGGTGTAGGTATATAGATACTAATGGTGTAGGTATATAGATACTAATGGTGTAGGTATATAGATACTAATGGTGTAGGTATATAGATACTAATTGTGTAGCATATTTTTGTTGGATGAGTGAATGAACACATCGGTTATTAAGATATCTGAAATTAAAGCAAATCTTGGCTTGGCAAGATACCTCTTCTACAGATCCTACAGGCTGGAAAAAAGTCAAAGGCATGCTCGGCTAAGGCCTAAAACTGGAAGCAGATGAACCTGAATGGAGAGATAATTGGTACTGAGTGTAGACTCCAGAGACAGCAATATGGAAAGTCCATCAATCAGCCCCATGCGGGTCTCTCCTCTCTCTGTATCTGGCTACAGGAAACCATCTTGTCTTTGCTCCCTGCATCTCCAAGAGCTGCTCAAGATTATGCCATGGGGCTTCCTCCCCAGGGTGCTTGGCAAGCAAAGACCATCTGGTATTTCCACAACTGACTGGCCTGGGTGGTTTCACAGGCTGAGATACCATGGGAGCAGGCTGTCTTCCAGCTATTAGTGCAAATGCCCCTCAAGGATGTTCAGTGTTATAACACAGCATTGCTGTTTACAAAGTTCACATTCAAGGACCTTGGGTTGCAGGTTAGAGGGTACAGTAGCCAAGATAAGCGCTGACTGTTCTTCCAGAGAACGTGAGTGCTTAGGGCTACTTATTGCTCCAGATCCCAGAGTCTGACACCCCTTCCTGGCCTCTGTGGGCACCTGCACACATAGGGCATTCAGATACACAGATAAACACACACACACACACATTCTTAATTAAAAACCTCAAGTTACAAAAACTATGTTTTAAGTTTATGATCTTGTGATATATA